GTTTTTGCATTCTTTCCAAAAATCGGGACTTTTTAAAAACGCCGCGGGGCGCGGGACAAATTGTTAAAAATCAAGACTGTCCCGCCAAAGGCGGGACGTCTGGTCACCTTAGGTTATCGTGAAGTCCATGCTCCAGAAGGGAAGCTGAGGCAGGAGAGTGGTCAGCAACTTGCCCAAAGCCACACAGCAGGAAGGGGCAGGGCCAGGGCTTGAACACAGTCCAGCTGCTCCCGGTGTCTAGAACTTTCCTTGTGCTCTCAAAGGAGAAGTGAGTTACTTAGAGGTTTTCTAGCAGCTGATTTTCATAATAGTGGTTACAGATGCTGTGACAGTAGGTAGATGATTGGCGTGTGACTCTTCTTAGTTGCTACACTTTCCCAAGTTTCTGTAACAGCAACACATTACTTTATATTTTACACCATATCAAATAACGTAAGGACGGTAAACCCCATAGGAATGTGCTTTAGTTGTGATGCGCGTATTCCCTATGGCCACAGAGTAAGCCAGGGTTCCGTCCACGTTGGCTAATATTTCTTTCTTTGCATCATGTTCCTTCTTTTATTATAGTATTTCTAATTTAAAATAAATTCTTCAAATGCTCTTGATTTTACAAAAATATTTTCAGAAGGCTTTGTGTTTACAGTGTTTTTGTAACCTACCTTATTTTACTTTTCCTCATAACTTTGAGACTTAGATTTTTTCTGTTCAGAAACAAGGAAACAACTGCTAAGTCTCTCAATAGCTGTTTCTTCTGATTTCTAGTTGAGTATAGTTTTAAAATTTGCTTTGATTTTAAATTAAACCAAATTATAGAATTAAAATTTTGTTTAATCGAAGAATCAGAGTTGAGAAAACATTTTAACATACTGTGCCTGTGGTGTATAGGTCATGGTCATTATAATTTACTTTGCTGGGCATAGCTGTTTTCAAAAATAGAGGAATGTTTTAAAAATAGAATTTATTTTAGATAAATTTTGAGAAGCCAAATAATTCACCTCTGGATTTTTTTTTTTACTTATTGATATTCCTTTAAGACTTAAGTTCTACATCTTCAGTTAAAACGTTTATTTACCTTTTATAAATAATAGAGAGGCACTTTGGGGGACTGTTGTTTTCTTCCTTAGACTGAAGATGGCAAACTAATTGTGGAAGGAATGCTGGACATTTTCTGGGGAGTAAAGCGGCCTATACAGCTGAGAATACAGGATGAGAAGCAAATCCCGGCCTTTACGATGCTGAAGGCACCAGACTTCTTTTCCAGCAAAGGGTAAGCCGTCACCTGTGCTTTTAATCCATTAGAAGACGACTTTCCTCTCTACTTTCCTTATACACACTCAGAAAGAGGGATGCTTAATGTTCATCCACAATGTTCATCCACAATCTCATTTAATCCCCCAGCATCTCCATGAAGAAGGTGTTCTGAAACCAGGGTTCCTTAAAGCAAGGTAATGTGTACAAGATCCCAAATTACCACGTGGCAGGACTGGACTGGATCTGCCTCGTCCCACACCCTGAAGAGCCTGTACCATGGTCCCTCAGCCCTTCCCGTCTCTACTGGGAACTGCACCTGTTCATGGCAGAGATGATGTAAGGGCAGGATTTGCTTAGCCCTGGCCCACACTCCCCAAAAATGTACAGTTTAGAGGGGGTAACATTTAATTTTCTCCTCTCCTTGGAACAAAGGGCTCTTACTTAATTAAGGTCTATCTGATCACCCTGATTCTGTTCAGCAGATCACCACAAAGTACGTTTGAAGTTAAATAAACACACAAAACAGCTCCCTGTGTGGGGTATGCAACTGTGCTACCCCATTTGCACTCATTTCTTCATTACGTCTTACAATTTCTAGAAAAATTAATACATGTTCACAGTAAGAATTATACTTAAAAAATTCCTTCCTTCCTCCCTTCCTCCCTCCTCCCTTCCTTACTTCCTTCCTCCCTTCCTCCCTTTTCCCTTCCTCCCTTCCCTCCCCACCTCCCTCCCTGCCTCCCTGCCTCCCCCAGCCCTCCCTCCCTTTCTCCTCTCCTTTTAGTCCTTGCCTTTCCATCTCACCTCCCCTTTCTGTGTATGTTGAGATACCAAGGCTTGACTTCCCACCATTCCTCCTCCCTTTCACTATTAGATGACTTGGAGCTCTGTCAGAGGGGAGGATGGAGAAAGAGCTGCCAGGACAATCGTCTCTCTCTGATCTTGGACAACAACTAAGGAAAACAGGATCTCACCTTTAGGGAAGTCTGTTTTTCCTTTGGACAAAATATTTAAGCTCCACCGTGATTTTCGCCTTGCCAGTATTTCCAAGTGCCATGTTTCCCCAGTGCTAAACATCCTGACATCCTCTACACGTATCCTGCAGTTTCCTCCTTTCCTGACTCTCTGTTGGGAGGTCACTGGCTTTTCGACACCCATTTTCTGCCTCTTTTCTATAGGTCAGGTAACATTTCTCCAGAAAGCCATTTCTGACCCTTCAGTCTATACCGGGTGCCCTGACAACTTATCACGTCCAGCAAGCAGTCAGCTGTGTTTCTATGCACCTGTCACCCTCTGCACTGTGAGTGTCCCGATGGCAGGGAGCACACCTTATTCTGTGTGTGTCCCAGTGCCCGCAGTGTGCTCAGCACCAAAAGGGCCTTCAAATTCTACTATCATGGAGTGAAGCCCCCAGAAGCCTGCAGATAAATTGCATCTGCTTTGTGGGGTCTGTCTACCTGTCTACTCGTCCCCGTGCAGGCTAACAGTGACCATGAGCTTGGGTCCCGGGCTCAGGGAAGAGCAGAGGGCAGGCCGCAGCTGCAGGCCACCTGAGGAGGCCCCGTGTCCCTCACTGCAGGTACCAGGAGACAGAGGGGCTGATGGGTCTATGTCAGTAGAGGCAGCATCTAAAAGGAGAAATTACCAAGGGCCCTACTTTTAGAAAACCGTACAAAATGTGAATGAAAATTAGCTGTTCTCTTTCATATTCCCGGAGCACTCATCACAGTCTCCCTGAGCAGCCTGCTCTTTCTGATGGGTTTTAATTTCTCGATTCGGGACAGTGGAGTGAGTGTGGAGCAGGAGAGGGAGGAGTCAAAGGTGGGATGAGGCGCCTCTCATACCACATTAACCATCATTATTCTGAGGCTATCTCAAGAGGTATTTAAGTTGTATTTTATTTTTAATTCATAAATGATATTACATATTTATGAGATATGTGGTGTTTTTATACATGTCTACATCATGGAATGAGTGGGACAGGCAAAATGGCATATCCGTCCCCTCAAACTTCTCTATGGTGAAAACATAAAAAATTTCTCTTTTAACTATTTTGAGATATATAATCTATTATTATCAACAGAGGTGCTTTTTAGTTTCTCAATTTTAAACACTTGCTCCCAGCAATTCTAAATTTTTGAATGAGCTTCAAGAACCCAAGCGGACAAGATAATATAGATGCCTGTCCGTACGCTGCAGGGATTATAAAGTAGCAGTCTCGTGAGGCCGTCCACAGCAGCCAGTCACACTTGCATTGCTTATTAGAACATTGCTGGGAAGCAAAGGGGAAAGATCTCCTTTTGTTTAGAGTTAGTGGAGGAAAAAGTTAACCTAGAACATTTCATCAGGTTGTCCTTTACCAGAGTGACAAGACTTACTAGGGGGACATTTGAAGTGCACCCGTGCAGCATATCCAGGGGGCAAGAGGGGCAGAAAAAGGTCCCCTTCTACATACATGCAGATTCCCACACACAGAGAGCAACAGTAGATGCTGCTGTGATTCATTAGCTAAGACCAGCTGGACACTCGGGCAGGCAGGTGCCGCCTCATCTGGAGTGACTTTCCCTGGCCTCTGGCTCTCTAATGGGTGCTCAGCCACCTAAGGGCCCTTTCTTCCTTTCAATTCAACCCTAGTCACCCTACTCTTGTTGCCCCTTGGATAACACTGAAATTCTGAGCCTCATGTTAAACTGGGTGTGAAGAAGTTGGCTTTCCCTCATTCTCAGACTTCTCCTGAATTCCTCTTCCCATACTGTGGGTAGAACCTACATCTCTGCTCTCCCAGGCCCCCAGATTCGATGTCCTCAGTGGGTAGCACAAAGCAAATGACATGGAAGTCACACACTCTGCTGCAGGAAGAGCTGCGAGCCTTGGTGTCTTTCTGCTCACCCTCGGAGAGAATCAACAGTCTCGCCATGCTGCTTATTTTAATTATGTTTGAGGAAATATCAGCTTGATGGGAATGACTTAAAATAAATGGGGCTTAAAAATAAATCAGTGTGCTTGAGGTCTGACTACTTGTTATCCTTTATGACAAGGATTTTTTTTCTTTTTTTTGAGACAGAGTTTCACTTGGGTAAAGTGCTGTGGTGTCATAGCTCACAGCAACCTCAGACTCTTTGGCTTAAGGTATCCTCCTGCCCCAGCCTCCCAAGTAGCTGGGACCACAAGTGCTCGCCACTCTGCCTGGCTAGTTTTTCTATTTTTGGTAGAGACACAGTCTTGCTCTTGTTCAGGCTGGTCTTGAGCTCCTGAGTTCAAGCGATCCACCTGCCTCACCCTCCCAGAGTGCTGGGATTACTGGTGAGACACCACATGTGGCCTTAGGGGAAAGATTCTATGGGCAGTACTCTGATCTCTCATATCAGGTCCAAGTGTTTTAGACATTTTTCATTAATAAAAAGAAAATGGCAGCCTTATTATGGTTATATTTCATACACTATTTTTTAATTCCTCTTTGTATTACCTTTCCAAAGTCAGACTTTGCATACTTTAGACAAGTTCCGGCAGAATCCTGTAAGCAGCAGAAACTGGATGGGTGCACGTTTGAATAATGTCAATAGTGAGTGAGGCTTTGTTCATACAGCACAG